AAAAAAAAAAAAAAATTGCATGTTTTATCCCAAAGAAGAAACCAAGGATCAGCGTATATCCTGGCAAGGGATGATGTGTCCTAATAATGTATCAGAAATATTGGGCATTTTTCTGCTCATTCATCTATTCCAAAACATTTTGTTGTATGATTGCAAAGGAAACTATTTTTGGGATAGAGTGCTTGAAATAATTAACACTTGCAACAGTCTCATTGTGAAGAAGACAGGTCTTAGCACATCTGTTTGCAAAAGGTGGTGGGAAGCCATAGCCGGGGCAAGTCAGGGGTTCAAGGTCAAAGAACAAAAGAGTAGCAGAGTTAGAGTCTGAGCCCCCAGATCCAGTAGCACCCTGAGTTCTCAGGCTCTGCAGCCTGGAGGTTCTTTCTGTCTAGAGCAGTGTTTTTCAGCCTTTTTTTATCTCATGGTGCACTTGAACCTGTAGTTAAACTTCCACAGCACACTTCAATTATGTTGATCAAAAAAAAAGAGTTACAAAAAGAATATACTCACTGTGCTTTGAAATTCTTCTGAAAATAATTTAATGAATGATGTTTAAAATCCTTTGTGGCACACCTAAGATGCTCTCACGGCACACCGGTTGAAAATCACTGGTTTGGAATCTTGGTTAGAAAACAGTTGCAGAGGCACTAAGATTCTGATGCCTTGGTCTTCCCGCCAGCAGGAACGCTGGCAGATGATACATATTTTAAAGCACAACCTCAAAAGGCACCCGAAGAGCCTAAAACAGGAGTCAAAGTGTCCACTTGACAGGCGGGAGTGTTTCCCTCAGCTGGTGGAGTGGCTTTAGACTCGCATTTAACGCGTTTTTGATTTGTTTAACAGCTGCGAACAGATCTGAGCCCCTCTTAGCCCTTTCCATTACTGACGGGAATGATTTCCGAGCCGTAGTCTCTCCAGGGCTGCTGTCTACAGTTTCTCCAATGAATGGAGAAAAGTAACCATCGAAAGCAAAGAACAACTCCCAGGGAGGGGCAGGTGGTTGCTCTGAAGCAGCTCATTAGCCTGTAATCGCAGTGGATGAGTCCACTTACCTCGGAGCAGGCTCCCCCCTTCTCCCTGGAGGGTCTCACCCACATTAACCAAAAAGAGGAAATGCCGGGCGTGGTTGCCTATTAGGTGGTTTTGTTTGTAAGTGTCTGTTGTGAGTAATTTGTGGGTTTGGGGAACCGGGCGTTCGTAGGAAAGCTTGGGGCACCTTGAGACCGATGTGGAAGTGTTTCTCCCCCAGGATGGGCAGATCCTTCTGCATCACTCCGAGCTGACTTCTCAGCCCGAAACTAGACGAAGTGGAGCGCTGTAAAGGTGTAACAGAGCGGGGCCGCTGTAGACACAGATGCCACATTCACTTCTGCTCCATAGCCCAGAAGGACACTTCTGCCACCGCGGCCTGGGTTTCTAATTGACCAAAGTAGAAACTTCACAGAACACTCATTAGAAAAAAATCTCCAAAGCCGCCTTTAGAGTCAGCTAAAGCTAAATAGCTCTGGGCTATTTTTTTAATATGCTCTTCACAACAGAACAGTGTGTGAATGCTGATCTTTCTGGAGGGGATCAGGTTCCTGTTTCCAGCTGCCTCCTGGAGGCCCCACCTGAGTATTTCACTCTTATCACGTCCAGAGCCGAATTCATTATCTGCCCTCTCTTCCCCAGACCTTCTAGGGCACCTTCAACTCTGTAATATCCTTACCTACTGTCGCCGAGGCTATAAATCTTGACGTCTTTCCTTCTTTTTTCTTCCTTGAATTTTTGGTGCCCTGATTCTCTGCTGCTACTTCCAGACTCTCCCTCCATTTCCTCCAGCTTTCAAGAGCCTGCCAGCCCTGCCTGTCATGTTTCTTTGCCCACTCAGTGCCAACCCAGTTGTCCTCCGTCTCACCACTCCCCGACTCTGTCCGTCACCTCCCTTTGCTGCTCTGTCTCCCACAGACACCCCCAAACCTTCCAGGTGGGTTAGTTCAGCCATACCTTTTCTTTTTCTTGCCCTGAACTGCTAAGTGTGGTCAGAAAACATAAAAAAGAATTCATACCTACGGCTGCATGTCGGGGTGTCATTGATGGTGGCTGTCTCACGTGTGTAGACCCTCAGTATTTCCGGCCAGTTCCGGCAGGTGGGCCTGCTCAGGGCTTCTGTGTCCCCCCCACCCCCCGGGCTTTACCTCTTGCTACACACTCCACACTGGACACTCCAGCCTTCTGCTCCCCAAGAAGCTGGTATTGTTTATGATTTTGCAGAGAAAACTCAAGCCAGCACCAGTGAGCTCCATCACCTCTCTGCTTCCTTAGCCACACACTGGGTCCCATCTCTGTGGCCCCCACATACCTACTGCACACACAAGCACCCAAGAGGTCCCATCATCCAGTGCCCATGTGGCATCTGATTCCAGCCCCTTCCACTGCCCCACAGGGCGTGTTCCCTCTCTTGTTCTCTGTCACAAGCTTCTTCCCCAGGGACTCCTCCCTTTGTGGGCACATCTCTCCTACCCTTCCTATGATGTGCAGCCACCCGTGCTGCCCTCGGGCTCCCTTTCTGCTCTGCTCACAGCAAAGGTGGACAACAGGACTGTGAGAGCAGTCACCCTGCCCCCTGCCCCACGTGTCTCTGGTCCCTCAGTTTGTGGCCGTGTGTTTCTGGTGCCATCATAGGCCACTGGCCTCCAACTTCACATGGCCCTGGCCTCCGCAGTACATGTCCCCTCCCTGGCTCTGGGGCCCTGCACTTCCCTGACCTCCCTGCTCTCTGGTCCCTCTGTCCCTGGCCTTGCGGTAGGCTCCCAGATCTGCTCGGTGTGTGCGAGGTCTCACCCTGCTCATCATCTCCCCCCCTTGCCCTCCCAAGGTGGAATTTCACCCTGAACATGCTTCTGGGACTGTGCTTCTTGGAGCCTCTCGGCCCTCTGCCCCCCCACCCCCGACTGCTCTCCCCACATCCAGGTCGTCCCTGCTAACAGACGCACACACCTGGATGCAGCCGGGATGTCGGCATCACTGCTCTGCCCCCAGATGTGCTACTTTCTCCGTGGCACCTCCTAAATTCTGCAGTGGGTACCACTGCCCACCGAGCCAGAAGCTGGACGGTGATACTTAACCCCATCTTGTCCCCTCTGCCACTGCTCCTGGTGATGTCTGCATCCCTTCCTCCCTGTGCTCCCCGTCAGCTGCCCTCGGGGCCTTCGTCAACCGCTCCTGGACCTGAAACCTCCTTGTTCATCTCCGCTTCTGGTCTGATGCCTTTCTGTCTCCCCTAAACATGGGCACTGTGCATCTTTTCAGAATTCTCATTTGATCGGTGCTGATATTTTTTTCTATGGCCATCGGGGGCGGGGGGGGAAAGGATATTGTTAACACATCCTGTACCATGTGACTTCCCCTTACTTGTCTGGCCCCGTCTCTCCCCACCCCCCTTGCCTCTCCCGTACTCGAGCTTTATATACAGGTAGGAGTCAGTCTGTGACCAGGATTATTTTCACCTACAAACCACTTTCTAGGGCTATCAGCCAAGTTCCCCAAATTGGAGAACAGTGACCAGGCAAGCTTATGAAGTAGGTCAGGAAAAAATATATAAGGAAAATACACCTGCACACCCAAGGAAGTCTGTGTGCCCTGAGTGTGTGTGTGTGCGTGTGTGTGTGTGTGTTCAAAGGCCCATAATGACGCTTACTTGTCCAAGCTGTTCCTTTAATTGTTCATTCTTCAGCCAAGTGTCCCTGTGGCTCTGACCATCTATACCATTTGGAGGAGAATAAATAGAGATTAGATCTGTCTGAGTTTCACAAACAATAAACTGAAGTGAGCCAAAGAAAAATAAGGAATAGAGGCGGTGCCAGGAAGCTTTATCTCAGGGGGGGATTTTACAGCGGGGCCCACGGGCCGGGTTCTGCATGTCTTCCCTGGCTGATTGAGACAGCAGCTGCTATGGCCTGTCACTCACAGTCACAATGATGGCACAGACCTAAAATGAGATGCTGCTATCCACAACATGCTGGATTTCAGCAAAGGTGTCCCAGTTAATATCCTAGAGCCTTCGCAGTTCTAAACATCAGATATTTGGTTGCAGAAACTCAGTTTATTGTTCTCATCATTATATTATAGCTCTTTTTTTTTTTTGCTACCAAAAGTCAGCATTTCGGATGTGACATTTGTGTTCATTATGAAATGAAATCACTGGTCCATTAAATTAACATTTGCTGTAAATATTCAGCGCTTCCCAAGAGCAAAGGAGGTGGCTGTAAGCCGGGAGAGGAGGAGCCTGGGCAATGGCGCAGGAGACCCGGCTGGTGTTATCTGGCGAGGCCCTCGCCATCTGACTCGACAGGACCAGATCTGTGGCAGGAGGAGGGGCCTGGAGGCATCAGAGCCTCTTGAATGTTTAACAGGCTCGATCATGTATGCAGGGATGGGGCTCATGCCTGTAACCCCTGCACATCTCTGCACTTTAGGAGGCCAAAGCAGGAGGATCATTGAACTCAGGAGTTCAAGATCAGCCTGAGCAAGAATGAGACCCCTGTCTCTACCAAAAATAGAAAAATTAGCTGTGCATTATGGCAGGCACCTGTACTCCCAGCTACTTGGGAGGCTAAGGCAGGAAGATCGCTTGAGCCCTGGAGTTTGAGGTCACCGTGAACTGTGATGATGCTACTGTACTCTAGCCCAGGTGGCAAAGGAGAGCTTGTCTTAGTACAAAAAGTAAAAAACCAAAATAAAACCCCATGTGAAAAGGGAGCTCATACTTCCCCCTACCACAGACCATCTGATAAAACACCCTCAGGTCTGGGTCACCCTCCCTGGCTTAGATGTGATGCTGCTCCGGCCCAGAGAGGTGAGGGGCCCTCTTAGCTGGGCTTGGTCTGGAAGGTTTTATTTTCAAGTCAAAAAGAAGCCCTAAGGTTCGGTCCTGCTAAGCAAGCCAAAAAACCTGCTTTAAAATGTAGGTTTTCCTGTTATTCAGCTTTGGGGCAGTGGGGGCGGGGGGGGGGTAACAGATCAGGAAAGGACTGCTGTGGAAAAGATGGTTTGTTACTCACAGTTCCCGAGAGAAGGGGACAGGCCACGCCACCCCGCCCCATGCCACACCATGCCACACAGGACCACACAGGAGGAGCAAAGGGAATGACGGGAAATGGAGGCAAGAGCTTTAACTGTGATTTCTGTGAACGGCAGAACAGGGTAAACAGGCTTAGGATAGGCTAGTTTGACTGATTTCAGGGGCCCCTGGGGCATAGAGCTGTCCCTAGTTGTCTAGTGCATGTCCCTGGGGTTATTAGGGCAGGGGAATAGTGGCCTTGGGGGGTGTGAAAGCCCCAAGGTGGGCTGCATATGAAAGTCAGGTTCACTGGAAATTGACCAAGCCTGGCCAGAGCAAGGATGCTAAGACCCCCGACATCAAAGCATTACAAACACGTGGTTAATACAGAGCCAGAATTGTCCAGGCAGACCCCCTGAATCCCAGAGCGTTCATTTCCCTGGGTTTACCCCAGACCTGGAATGTTCTTTGTGAACTGAGGAAACCCTACCAACCCCAGCTGGTCGTTAAGGAAATGCAACATTGCCACCTACTGCCAGAGAGGAGAACTGGGGAGGCGCGCATGAAAATCAGAACTGAATTTTTTAAAAAGAGGAAAAAAAAAAATCTTGAGTTTGAATCTAGCCATCCTCACTCCTCCCCATCTCCCCAGAGAGCTCTTCTCCCCGGGTCCCTCAGTGTGAGCTGAGCCTCGCTCTGTCGGGATGGAGATGGCTGAGGTCTGTTTCTCTCTAGGCGCTTACAACTCAGCAGCTCCCTAGTGCAGATGGAAATTCAGGATGAGCTTAATATGTGAGTGTAACACAACCATAATATGACAGGCCTGGAACACACAGGGTTTTCCAGGCCGTTGTCTTGGTGAGAAAAATCAACAGGACCCTGCTTTCCCGTCCTGTCAAAAGGAGATGATTTTTTTTTCTTCTACTTTCAAAATATGCTTGTTATTTCCTGCCCCTCCTCTGCCTCTTTTGGGGCCCGATGATACAGCCTGGTGGAAATGAATGCTGTCACCAAAGCTGTATAATTTGCTGCTTCATTTCACTTTTTCCATTATTAGAGGATTGGAAAGAAAAGAGAAGTGTGCTGTTCTCTTAATACACTATTCAGGAGGAAATTGGGATGGGGATAGGGGAGAGACAGAATGTCTTCACTCCTCTCACCTCAAGGGCTAGAGCAAATGAAAAAAGAGGTGTGGTGTTGCTTTTAAAATGAAGTCATTTCAGACCCTACAGATTTATATTCAAAAGTATCATTAGAGTTCTGAGGTTGCTGCACCTCATAAGGCCTCTGCTGTTTTCCTGGTGTTGAGATCACCCTCTCCCCCTCTTCCCATCTGTTTTTTCTTCCTTCCTTCTACTTGTTTTGTTATTCTGATTACCTTTGCCCAAGGCCCTTTGTAAAGGATATAGATTCGTTTTTAAAAATTAAATCAAAGAATTGATTTTGCTTTGAGATGTGAGACTTACTTCTGCCCGTCAGCTCCCCCTTATTAAAAACCTGAAAGCTGTACAACTTGACAGGGTCTCCGAGACTGTGGTGGAGACTGTATGGAGGTCCCCGTAACCTAAGACGCCCCAAAGGCAGGAGGCACGTGCCTTGGGGGTACAGAGGATGTGGAGGGGGACACGCCAGTTCATCTATACCCAGGCTCGGCCAGTGTGAAGACCATCTTGTAATCCCTGAAGAGTCATAGACCATGACATGGTGGTCCTTGCTCTAATAATATCTGTGGACTGAGAAAGCCTCCCGATGTCTGAAGTTACTCCAGTCATTCACAAGTTTAAATGAATGGATATTGTTTTCAACACAGCAGCCTCTGCACACTTCTGAAAAATGATAGAAGATGTCATTTATTTAGTGTGGGGACAAAAGGTAGCAAACCAGTAGACAGGCCATGGACTTGACCTAGCCTACCACATGTTTTGTTTGTTTTATGCAATGTTGATGTGTTGTTTTACTGTCTTATTATTTTATTTTTTTATTAAATCATAGCTGTGCACGTTAATACTGTCATGGGGTACAGTGTCCTATTTTTATATACAATTTGAAATATTTTCATCAAACTGATTAACATAGTCTTCGTGTCATTTTCTTAGTTATTGTGTTAAGACATTTATATTCTACATTTAGAAAAATTCACATGTACCCTTATAAGATGAACCATAGATGTGATCTGCCTTATTATTTTCATTTGAATTCACTTCCAATATTTAAAAACCAATGGACTTTTTTTTTTTTTTGGAGACAGAGCCTCACTTTGTTACCCATGGCAAAGTGCCAGGGCATCACAGCTCACGGCAACCTCAAACTCTTGGGCTCCAGTGATTCTCTTGCCTCAGCCTCCTGAGTAGCTGGGATTGCAGGCACCCACCATAATGCCCAGCTAGTTTTAGAGACGGGGTCTCGCTCTTGCTCATGCTGGTCTTGAACTGCTGAGCTCAGGCAATCCACCTGCCTCATCCTCCCAGAGTGTTAGGAGTACGGCATGACCAGTAGGCTTCTTGGGTGGTGAGCCACTAACCCAGACTCACCCTCTTCTTTTACAGTCACAGAAACAGAAACCCAGGCAATATTATGTGACCTGCCCTAAGTCACACAGAGCTGGTGCTAGATCACTGGTCTTGGCCTCTCTCCCCAGGGGTCTTGCTATCTGGCTGTGACGCTGTCCTGGAAGGCCAGCTATAGGGTTGTTCCTTCTCATTTCCCCTTCTGCCGCCTCTTGCTATAACCAGTTTCCTTCCAAGCATCTGGTACCCTCCAAGTCCAGCCTCAGGGTTGCCACCACTACTCAGAACCTCCAAGAAGCTGCATCTCAACCTCCCCCCAGGCAGCATCACTCCCTGAGTGCGGCTTGTCCTTAGACAGTACAAGTGTATTATCTCATTAAAGAATTTAATAAACTCGGAAGTCAATGTGTAAAGGCGTGTTTCGTGTAAATTTAAATAACGTCAGCATGTTTCACCCTGAAAAAATCCATACGCTCCCATCTGGACAGAAATCCGATTCTCATTTGTCTTCATGTGGGTTAATATCACAGCGTTAAGAACACTGATCCCAGCTCTCTGGACGCACAGAAATCAAGTCACACTTCACCACCTTCAGGAAGACACATCGTAACCATTTCGGAAAGAAATGTGATTTAAGCAAAAGAAATTATCTTTTTAAAAAAATCCAACTCAATGACTATTCGGGAAAAAACAAAGCAATGAAAACAACACTCTGAAAAATTGGAAAGCAAGGTAGAAAAAAGAAAGTAGACAGTTTTTGGTTTGGGGGTTTTGGTTTTGGTTTTTGAGACACAATCTCACTCTGTTGCCCTGGGTAGAGTGCTGTGGCATCATCATAGCTCACAGCGACCTCAGTCTCTTGGGCTCAAGTGATCCTCTTGCCTCAGCCTCTTGAGTAGCTGGGACTACAGGCACCTGCCACAATACTCAGCTAGTCAGCTAGTTTTTCTATTTTTAGTTGAGATGGGGTCTCGCGCTTGCTCAGGCTGGTCTTGAACTCCTGAGCTCAGGGATCCACCTGCCTCAGCCTCCCAGAGTGCTAGGATTACCGGTGTGAGCCACCGCACCAGGCCTAGATCAGTCAGCTTTAGAGTCTGTGCTTATAGGTTGGTGGCAAGCTGATTCATTGAGGCCCATCAGGCAAGACAATCCTTTTTTTTTTTTTTTTGAGACAGAGCCTCAAGCTGTCGCCCTGGGTAGGGTGCCATGGCATCACAGCTCACAGCAATCTCCAACTCCTGGGCTCAAGCGATTCTCCTGCCTCCTCCTCCCAAGTAGCTGGGACTACAGGCACCTGCCACAACGCCTGACTACTTTTTGGTTGCAGCCATCATTGTTGTTTGGCAGCCCAGGCTGGATTTGAACCTGCCAGCTCAGGTGTATGTGGCTAGCACCTTAGCCGCTTGAGCCACAGGCGCCAAGCCAGGCAAGACAATTCTAATCCACTCTCCAAGTCCTTTTAAAAAACGCCGTTTGCCTTCAAAAAGGGGATCATAGAAAAGCGATCGGGAACGCCTTTTGCTTTTGTTCGTTTATGATTGAGCGTTCCAGTTTGCATTGCAAGCTGTGAGCACAGGAGATCAGCTGCTTTGCTCTTTCTGGGGTTCACGCGCAGCTTGTGTCTTTCAGGTTCTACATAGAAAGCATTTCCTACTTGAAGGACAACGCCACCATCGAGCTCTTCTTCCTGAACGCCAAGTCCTGCATCTATAAGGTAGGAACTTTCTCTTCCTCTTCAGTTTCTCGCTGAAATCTGAACATACTATTTAAAGCTGGAGATCCCAAGCTGTCGCCCCATAGGTGATTTTACTGATTCGGAGAAGTTGTTTAAAATTATTTACTAGGAGTAAGTAGAACTTCACGAAGCCAAAGGGTATCCATTCAATAGGATGGAATAATGTGATTCCTTCCCATCCAGCTCTGCGTTTCCAGCTCCGTCGTGGTGGTTCCTTAGCCTGATTTTAGAGGTTGCCTGATTTTAAAGGTCTCTTTCTCAGCTGAGACGAAGCAAAAAGCCTAGACAGGTCTGACAAACGCACTAGTCAACCTAGACAGGTCTGGCAAATGTGAATGAACTTCTTATGACCAAATGGATTCAGAGTTGATTGTTTTTTAGATGTTCCAGCAGTATCTTTCAAAGGGATGCTTACAGCACTTAGGTGAGATGATTCTTTTTTAAAAATTATAAAATACATATGTATTTATTACCATAGCCATTTTTTTTATTGTTTAGGATCCATTGAGGGTACGAAGAATTAGGTTACACTGATTGCATTTGTTAGGTAAATCCCTTCTTATAATTGTGTCCTGCCCCCAGGAGGTGTGCCACACACCGTGACCCTCCATTCCACCCCCCACCTGTTCATTCTCCTGCTCCCCCACCATATATTAGATCATCTACTGGCTTCATATTAGAATTGAGTACATTGGAGTCTTGCTTTTCCGTTCTTGTGATGCTTTACTAAGAAGAATGTATTCCACCTCCATCCGGGTTAATACAAAGGATGTAAAGTCTCCATATCACGGCTTGTTAATCCATTCCTGGATTGGTGGGCATTTAGCTTGTTTCCACATTTTGGTGATTGTTAATTGAGCTGCGATAAACAGTGTAGTGCAAATGTCCTTGCGATAAAATGATTTATTTTTTCTTCTGGGTAGATGCCCGGTAATGGGATTATAGGATCAAATGGGAGGTCTGATTTGAGTTCTTTGAGGATTCTCCATACTTCCTTCTGAAAAGGTTATATTTGCAGTCCCACCAGCCGTGTTTCTCTTCAGACCATATAAATCTCCCGCCTTTTACCATAGCCATTTGTAAGTGTGTAGTTCAGTAGTATCAAGTACATTCATGGGACCGTCGCCACCGTCCATCCACAGAAATCTTTCCATCTCTCTCACCGGAGCTCCATACCCATTAAACATCTCCCCATTTCTTCCCTCCCAAAGCCCTGGCAACCAGCATGCTGTTTGCTGTCTTTATGAGTTTGACTCCGCCAAGACTTCATAGAGCGGAATCTCACGGATTTGTCCTTTTGTGGCTTGGCTTGTTCCACTTAGCATGATATGCTCAGGTTCCAGCCACGTGGCACCAAGTGTCAGAATTTCATCCTTCTTTAAGCTTGACTAATAGTTCATCAGAGGCCTGCGCTACTTTTCCCCTACCCATTCATCTGTTGATGGACCCCTCAGTTACTCCTTTTGGCTTTCATGACTAACACAGCTGTGAACCTGGGTATCCAAATGGCTTCTCGAGACCTTGCTTTCCATTCTTCTGGGTACATACCCAGCTGTGAGATTGCTGGATCAGAGGGCAGTTCGATTTTTCATGTTTTGAAGAACTGTCTTACTGTTTTCCTCAGCGGCTGCCCCGTTTTACATTCCCGCCCACAGAGCACAAGGATTCCAGTATCCCTACATCATCCCCAACACTTACTACTCAATTTTTTCTTTTTTAGTACTAGTCATCCTAATGGATGTGGAGTAGCAGCTCATTGTGGTTTTGATTTGCGTTTTCCCAATGACTAGTGATGTCAGGGACCTTGCCATATGATTATTGGTCTAGTCAAGACACAATTCTTAATTGAGTGAGACAGTCCCTTGCCCTGTATCCAGTCAGCCCCCACACTTGCAGGTTTGCATAATGGGGCAACCCAAAATGCCCACATACCCTTCCAGCACACCCTCCCTCCCTGGGGAGAGGGGCTTGGAGAGCACCACCCAAGTTAAGAACCACGACATATTTAAAGGAAACACCTGCTCTTCCGGCTGCCCCAGTGTGCACGTTATGAGTGCAGCCTTTAGTCCTAACAAAAGAATAGCTAACACCACGGAGCTCGTGCAAGGCGTAGGCTTGCTGCCTGCCGAGTGTTTTATGTCCATTTTCCAGCTGGTTCTTCACAACTTTTGAGATAAGTGCTACTTTTTACTCCTGTTTCCCAGCAAGGAAGATGAGGCAACGGGGTGTTCACTCAGTGAGTAGCCGGGGCTATACCGTCCCCTGGGGGGCAGACTCTCTCTGTGCACCTGTTGGTAAAGTGGTTGATGGATATGTTCACAGGAGTCCGAGGCGATCTCACTGCCTGTATTTGCACTTATAACTAAACTCAGGCTTGGGGGATTGTAACCAGTAAAGCTTGAAACACACATACAAGAGTTGAAAGGGTACCCTCAGCTTTTCACTTCTGGAAAAGACACAGTTGCCCAGAATTATTATCCAAGTGCACATGTTCAGAATAATGGAGGGCCTGGTAATGATCAAATTTAATTCTGTGAGAAGACCTCACTGGGTGGCATTTGCTGAGCCAGGACTTCACCTTGGCTCAAACCCCCATCTCTCCAATGACAGTATTTTGAAGCTTTGGAGCAAAAAGACACAAAATGCAGTTCCAGGTACTTGCAAATTCCTTCCTCTCTCTAAGCTCTCAGTTTCTCATTCTAAAGTGGAAATATAATACACGTACCTACCAACCGTAGGCACCCCACAGATTGTAAGACTGGTTTTTTGAACGAATGGGGAGAGGCCTTTGAAAAGGTTCAGAAATAAGAAGTGAGCACTGTCCACCAGGTGGCAGTCTTGGGCAGTGAAGTAAGTGGAAGGAAAGTCCCTGAACCCACGATCTCACTCTTGGTGCTCCAAAGTGTACCTGTGTAGACACCCTGTGAAGGTAGAAGTGTTTAGTTCTGTCTTGTCTCAAATGTGAGCTTAAAAAGATAGGATTTCTGAACATCATGCATACTGTAAGGGCTCTGGTATTCAGGGAAAGTGAAAAAGGAGAATAAATCTCAGAACACGTTACAGATTCCCCAAGTGGAGGTGCCGACAGCATCAACTGGCCTGCTCAAGGTCATCCCAGAACCCAACTCTCTTACTAAAATCTTTCACTGAGCTTGGACACACAAATGACCACAAATAACAAGAAATAGCTTCTCTAAAGTTTGCAAAAGAGACCAGATAGCATCATGTGGCCACCTGTCTCCCTCTCCTAATCAAGACTAATCTTTTCATTTGCCTAAACAGACACAGTTTATTTTAAAAAATTTATATGCGGTATCTTGTTTGAGCCTCAGAGACTCTGGGTGAGGGAAAGCAAGACCTCTGGGTTTCCAGCAGAGGAAGATGGTGTTGGGAGAGTTTAAGCGATTGACTCTAAGACAAAGGACCAGGCATATATGGGACAGGCCATGTAACCTGTGTGAATATGTAAAAATAATGAGAGGCATGGAGCTGAGTTTTTGGAAGTTTAGCGTTTGCTGTCAGACAGACTCGGGTCCCCTTCCCAACTCTGCCACTCAGCAAAGGCAGTGAATGTGGACGCCTCTGCAGTGTCCCCAAACTTCATTTTCCTCTTTGATTGGGTAAGGATATTATAATACCTTGCCTGAGGGATCTGACACCCTTCCCAACCTTCTTGGGAAGATGCAGCGAGATAAAGCCTGCGAAGTACTTTGTGCCGTGCCAAGTACGTTGTTAGCTAGTTGGATTCAGACCTCAGTTGTCTCTCTTGGCTATGATTTTCCTGATACCAGGCACGCTGCCCCCTGGCTCTTTTGAAGCTTTGGAGAGCCTAGAGGGCGGGGACCGACCTGGACGACCTGTCCTGATACTGATCCCCGGAGGCTTGGGTTTAGCCAGCATGGGTTTAATATCAGGCCCCTCCCTGCTGCTTTGGGAGTGATTTTTACCGTGTATCAGAATCTGAGTCATACAGGCAAATTTAGCCCTTTTTCTTCCTCCAAGTCCAATTTCATTCCTTTTTTTTTTTTTTTTCTAAGACTGAGTATCACTCTATCACCCTAGCTAGAGTGCCATGGCATCATAATAGCTCAGAGCAACCTCCAACTCCTGGACTCAAGTGATCCTCTTGCCTCAGCCTCCCGAGCAGCTGGGGGACTACAGGCACCCACCACCAGGCCTGGCTAATTTTTCTATTTTTAGTGGAGACAGGGTCTTGCTCTTGCTCAGGCTGATCTTGAACTCCTGAGCTCAAGCAACCTACCTGCCGCAGCCTCTAAGAGTGATGGGATTACAGGTGTGAGCCACCAGGAGTGGCCTCATTCCCTTTTTAAAGTATTAATATTCACTTAAATCAAAGCATTATATGATGTAGTTTTAAAGTCAAATGGTTTTATGAGGCTTATTAGGAAAAAGAGGCCCCCCTCCACGCCCTGCTACTTTCAACAATTTTAGCTGTTTCTTCTAAGTTTTTGCCTCTCTGTATCTAAATAATTGGCACAAGACTTTTTTTTTTTTTTTTGCAGTTTTTGGCCGGGGCTGGGTTTGAACCTGCCACCTCCAGCATACGGGGCCAGCGCCCTACTCCTTTGAGCCCCAGGCACCGCCCCAGGCACAAGATGTTATTCCTCCCTTCATTCTAGATTCACTGACTTCCTCTTCAGACGGAAGAGGATCAGAGTGTCCCATACAACCCCCGACACTTTCTCCTTTTCCCATTTTCTCAGAATGACAGTGAGCAGAATTCTGGATTAAAGCTGTAGTCATCTGCATGATAGTATCATGACTAATCTAAGTGGTGTGGTTGTGGTTCCTTTTCAGACAACCAGTGGTTTTACCCAACAGGAACAGCGGCCTTGATTTGACTTGTTTTGTTTCTGTGCAGTCTCTACCTGTTTCCTAATAGCTCCTATAGTTTCCCAAATGCCTACCAGTATTCATTTCCAGACACATTAGGTAATTCTTCAGTCCCTCTCTTCGGA